TTAGTCTCCATTACGAGTATGCTCGGATGTTAGAGTTATCTCCCTTATCGGTCTTTGTCAGCTTCCTCTCACCCCTTCCGAAATTGAACATAGAATAGACTGTGCTAGAAGTAGTTTCGCCTAACACCACATATTGCTACAAAGCCAAATCATTAACCTAAAAACTCGAGTCATGTTCTTCGATAGCCTCGTCAGATCCAGACTTTTATATGGATGTCATGAATGGTGCCAGACCCGTTCAAAAATGGCGAGTGAAACCTGTAGATCAGACCGAAAATCACAATTCTTTGAACTGTGAATTGGCGCTACAGAATCACAAAGAACTGAACCAAATAACAGAAACCACAACATTTGTGGACTACCAACAGTAGCAACAACTAAAATGGATAGCAAGTATAACTCAAAAAGAAAAAAATTGCCAGATGTATACAACCGCTTCCTAAGATCCATGATAAAATATAACTTTGATCGATTGTAATTTTTGGGTCTTGACAAAGACCATCATTCTTTGAATATTATGGTTTGGCGCTACAGAATCACAAATAAAGAACTGTAGCAGATAACAAAAGCTACATCACTTGAGGACTATCAACAGCTGCAACAACTAAAATGGATAGGAACTCGAAAAGAACATGATGACATAATCAAAATGCTGACATTCCACACTACTTCAAACAAAAGGTTAGGAAGGAAACTCCCATCAGTACTGGAAAAACCTATAACAGCTACTGGACTTGAGAAATCTGTTTTCCTGAAAAATAGTCTTAAGAGAAAGATTTTATAAATTTAAACGAAGAGTGGCACTGGCTGCTCGGTCAATAACTGCCGAATGTTTCCTTATAAGGAAACGGCTAATATTAACATTACAATTACCTTTCTATCTTTATCTGAAACGGTTTCATTTTATTACCACTTTTCCTTTATCGTTGTTCTTTTTCAATCATTATTGTTGAGTTCTCCTTTCTTTTGATCAAAGTGTAGTATCTGTCATCAGGCGGACAAACTATATTTTGTCTCTCAATTGGCTTCCTGTCTTCGGACAGAACAGAACAAATAAATGAGGCATATTTAGTTCCTTAGTTCCCCAAGTTCAGACCTTCACAGCTAAGCCTCTCGCTACTCTATCGCTATTTCCATGGCAAATGTTCAGATGAGGTACATTCCTTAGTTCCCCAAGTTCAGACCATCACAGCTAAGCCTCTCGCTACTCTATCGCTATTTCCATGGCAAATGTTCAGATGAGGCACATTCATTAGTTCCCCAAGTTCAGACCTTCACAGCTAAGCCTCTCGCTACTCTATCGCTATTTCCATGGCGAATGTTCAGATGAGGTACATTCCTTAGTTCCCTAAGTTCAGACCTTCACAGCTAAGCCTCTCGCTACTCTATCGCTATTTCCATGGAGAATGTTCAGATGAGGTACATTCCTTAGTTCCCTAACTTCAGACTTTCACAGCTAAGCCTCTCGCTACTCTACCGCTATTTCCATGGCGAATGTTCAGATGAGGTACATTACTTAGTTCCCTAAGTTCAGACCTGCACAGCTAAGCCTCTCGCTACTCTATCACTATTTCCATGGCGAATGTTCAGATGAGGTACATTCCTTAGTTCCCTAAGTTCAGACTTTCACAGCTAAGCCTCTCGCTACTCTACCGCTATTTCCATGGCGAATGTTCAGATGAGGTACATTCCTTAGTTCCCTAAGTTCAGACCTTCACAGCTAAGCCTCTCGCTACTCTATCGCTATTTCCATGGCAAATGTTCAGATGAGGTACATTCCTTAGTTCCCCAAGTTCAGACCATCACAGCTAAGCCTCTCGCTACTCTATCGCTATTTCCATGGCAAATGTTCAGATGAGGGATATTCCTTAGTTCCTCAAGTTCAGACCTTCACAGCTAAGCCTCTCGCTACTCTATCGCTATTTCCATGGCAAATGTTCAGATGAGGTACATTCTTTAGTTCCCCAAGTTCAGACCTTCACAGCTAAGCCTCTCGCTACTCTATCGCTATTTCCATGGCAAATGTTCAGATGAGGTACATTCCTTAGTTCCCCAAGTTCAGACCTTCACAGCTAAGCCTCTCGCTACTCTATCGCTATTTCCATGGCGAATGTTCAGATGAGGTACATTCCTTAGTTCCCTAAGTTCAGACCTTCACAGCTAAGCCTCTCGCTACTCTATCGCTATTTCCATGGCGAATGTTCAGATGAGGTACATTCCTTAGTTCCCTAAGTTCAGAACTGCACAGCTAAGCCTCTCGCTACTCTATCGCTATTTCCATGGCGAATGTTCAGATGAGGTACATTCCTTAGTTCCCTAAGTTCAGACTTTCACAGCTAAGCCTCTCGCTACTCTACCGCTATTTCCATGGCGAATGTTCAGATGAGGTACATTCCATAGTTCCCTAAGTTCAGACCTTCACAGCTAAGCCTCTCGCTACTCTATCGCTATTTCCATGGCGAATGTTCAGATGAGGTACATTCCTTAGTTCCCTAAGTTC